GGAGGTTGAGAATGCTCCATCCCTGGCAGTGTTCAAGACCAGGTTGGACAAGGCCTTGGGTGATATGATTTAGCATAAGGTGTCCCTGCCCACAGCAGGGGGGTTGGAACTAGATGATCTTAAGGTCCTTTCCAACCCTAATTATTCTATTATTCTATTATTATTCTATAAATCTGTGGGGACAAAGTCAAGGGGGAATCAAATGTGTTTGTGCATATAATCAGTTTAAACTTAAACAGGGTAGATTTAAGTTAGATATAATGAAGAAGTTCTTTACTGTGAGGGTGGTGAAGCACTGGAACAGGCTGCCCAAGGAAGCTGCGGCTGCTCCATCCCTTGGCAGGGTTCAAGGCCAGGTTGGACATGGACTTGATCAACCTGGTCTAGTGGAAGGTATCCCTTCCCATGGCAGGGGGGTGGAAGTAGATGATCTTAAGGTCCTTTCCAACCCAAACCATTCTATGATTCTTTGTGGGATACAGTGCATTGATCATGGAACATTGTCCATTTCACTAGGCTTCTTCCCTCTAGATAAGCTTCTTATAATCCTAAATGTAGGAAATTTCAGAGGAAGGATAATTAAAACACACATTGGGGGGGGGGGAGGGGAGAGGTAAGTGCAAAAGAAAAAAAAATAATGCAAAAAAACCCCTGCTTTTCACATCAAAAATGTGAAATTTCACTAAGTCAGCCTGAATTCCAAAAGACAGTAATACTGTGTTCTCTGAAACTCTATAGGACAAACGTTCAGCGCTTGGTGCCCCCATGGGGAAGGATATCTCCACAGTGTCCAAATGTATTGAAGGCTCATCTAAATCTGGGAAGAGTTTGAATACAGCAGTGATATGATGTACAGGTTGGGAAATAAGCAGTCAGGTAATTTGTAGCCACATTTTCAATGTTTCTCACCCCTTCCTCTGTGAGTTGGTAGCCCCAGGATACAAGTGTTAACAGCAAACACCCACCCTGGTGTATGATAAACCACCCCTGTGTATGACTGTCCCCTACTCCACCTCAGTGAGGGTGCCACCACCTCCATCTCCCACCTACACCATCTAAAGGTCCCTGCAGTAGTTTGGAACACACAGCAGAAGTGGAGCAGCAACATGGAAGGCAGGCTGTGGAGTGGTGGGCAGGGAATACAGTCCCATACTTAGCCACTGAAAGTTCTCCCAAACCCAGACAACATAGCTGAAGTGATAGGAGTCAAGGAGACTGTTGTCAGCTCAGCGTTAGTTGCGTTGACTCTGACAACAGCAGCAGAAAAGCAGCCAGAAACACAAGATTCAGCAGAGCGCCAGTACAGAGAGATGCACCTGAGTGCCAAGAAGCTAACCAGTCATGCAATGTGTGATCTCCTCACAGATTCCTTATTACATGTGATGAAAGACAAGCAGAAGGCAGTTAAACTCGCAGGGCCTCGGCTGCCTTTGCAGGGGTTGTCTATTTGAGGGTGGAAAAGTGTCTGCACTTGCAGACTGAGCCCTCTTGATCCAAGCTGTGTTGGTAGACTGAAAGCAGTGAGCCCAGGATAAAGCCGTGTTTCAAATTGTTGATGCAATGATTAATCAGACCTATTCTTGAAAATTAACAGCTTCCTGGGATTATTTTTTTTTTACAGGTTAGCCTTATTTTTTTTTTTTTTTAATTTTAGGTAACCATTTTTGTCAGTAATTCATGATTTCTTCCTTTGGGAGGAGGTGATTAGCTGGATTTCCAATGCTGAGACAGACATGGCTTTAGGGCACACGCAGATTCATTCTCTAACACAAAGAGAATCCAATCAATCTGGGACATGTTAGTGCAACTGTACACAAAAGGCAGGGTCAGCACATGCATATAAAGGCCGATGCTTCAGGGAAGATACTGAAGGACACACACATGGAGCAGCACAAATGCAAGGCACATCAGACCTATAGGTTTGGGCCTTGTCAGTGTCAGCAGGCCTGTTTTTTTTTATCATCTCAGGCCAGTTCTGCCTCTTGCATTTCTCTAATGGCAGGAGCTGCCAGGAAAGGAGTCATTCACTGCCTGTTCTTCTCCCCTCCAGCTCTAGTAGCAGAAGTGGACACAGGAGCAATGAGGTCCCGGGGCTTGTTTTAACGTTGCCCAGTCAGGCACAAGGGTCTGAGCAATCCCCTTGGGCACAACCAGCTGATTTATGTTATGCAGGTGTTCTCCTAGACATGGGGGAAACTTCCCGCCTCGTCTTGCAGTAAAATAGGAGAAATATCCCACCGTTGCAAACCCAGGCCACCTGAATCCAGGCTCCCTTCCTGCAGCACAAGTTCTCAGCAGCGCCCACACGGTGGAGCTCCCCCTCAGAAATGAAGCCCAGCTCACTGGCCTGGTGGTCATCTCCTCGGGGTGATCCTGCAAAGCTCATGGGCACGAAGCAGGAAACAGCACAGGGACTGTGTGTGGGACTCCCAGGCCCTCTAACTCAGAGCATGAAGCATTCTGCCCTGGCACGGGACAGACAGCAGTCTCGATTTCTGCCTCTGCTGAAGATCTGCTGTTTGACATTGGCTTTATCAGCTCTTGTCTGTATCAGCTGTCAGCTTTGGGGAGGGTTCTGTAAGGTTTCCTCAGTGTTTGGCAGCGTCCAGCTAGCCAGGGGCTGGACTTCAGAGGGGCTGCACTGTAACTGTATCACAAATATCTTAACCCCTAGTTGCCAATGGCAAACTTACACACTCTGAGGAGGACAGGGGGAGAGATTTTTTAAAATGCATTCCAAAGTAAGTATTCTAAGAAGAAGAAAGTTATGGACAGTTGTTTTGATCCAATAATTTGAAAGAGATCCAAGAATTACACAGGAAAATGTTTCCAGGTGTTGCAGGACCACAGCATTGTAGAATCTGTCCAGTTAAATTTTCACTGTTTCTAGGAACGGATATTCCCCGATTTCTCTGGGCTGTTGTAACAGTGCTTTCCCACACTCAGAGTGATGGTTTTGTTCCTTTTATTGCACCGGAATTTCATGATGCAATGTGCAACCTTTGCCTCTTGCCTTTCGCTGTGCGAAAGTCCCAGGAAGAGCCTGGCTCTGTCTTCTCTGTATCATCCTCAGTTACAGTCAAGTGATGTTGCACTGCTGAGCACCAGTGAGCTCTTCATTTGCAGAGATCAAGGTCTGGATCATCAGTTCTAGTGCTTCACCAATGTAAAACCCCTGTCACCATCGAGGGCCAGGATGTCAATATCTTTGGAGAGCTCCCACCTGAAGGAATGCATTTCTCATTTGGCTTCCCTTCATAAATAAATAACCTCTTAGACCCAACACTTCAAAGCAGTTACTAATAACATGCTCTTGCCCTTGTATGCCAGCACTGTGGGTAGCTTCAGTCAGTGTTTTGATGCATACAGTTCATGGAGCTGCACGCTGCGAACACTAACCACCCTCTCAGTCAGCAAGTGAAGTCATTGTCATCTGCCAGTCCTTATTCCTGGTCACGAAGGAGTTTTCAGTTCAAAGAGTGCAATTTTCTTTCTTTTTTTCCCTTTTTTTTAATCTGTGTCAGTAAGCCAGACTTGGCAGCTGGGTAATTGCTCAGAAGCAGCGGCTCAAAAGATGACACATAACACAACAGGCGATCACATTCTTCTGGGAAATCAAAGCATTCTCCCAGTGATGGTGCTATCTTGATGGAGGCATACAATTCATCCGAACACCTAACCACAACTCCATCACACACACTGCAAAGGAGAAAACCACGCAGAAGCTTGGTGATCCTGCCATACACATTGCAGCACAGTGGGTTTGCATACAGCTGTGCTGACTGGCTTCCAATTAATTCACTGCTTCCACAGGTCACCGCTGGCCTGCCAGCTGTAGAGGCGATTGTGCCAACCAGTTTCAAAGCTCTTTGTGTCCCCACTGTCAACTGAATCATCAGTCTGGGACGTGTTCACATTCACAAATGTCTTTATGAATAAATGCTCCCTTCCATGGGTACTGGGCATATTTGTGCAGGGTACATCACCTTCTCTAAGCAACAGCTCTGTCTTCTTCCAAGTACTAAGTGCAACAGAGCACCTTTTCCTTGAGGTGGGAACACTTTGGATGCCCCTCCTGGTGACTGAACAGCTGACAGCTCACCAAGATCCACTAATAAGAGCTGCAGGACAAGCCACGGCACTCCTGTTTCATGCTGTGCCACAAAACCTGTTCAAGTCAGCGCTTCCCATCTGCATTTTTCAGCTGCTGCCACCGTTGCAGCTCCCCCTCTGCCACCTACTGACACAAAGGCTCTGCCTCACAGTTCCCTGCATTTGGACTCTTCATCAGGGAATGCAGCAATCGGAAAAGAGGTAATGGGTTCAAACTGAAACAGAGGAAGTTCAGGTTAGATATAAGGAAGAAGTTCTTTACTGTGAGGGTGGTGAGGCACTGGAACAGGTTGCCCAAGGAAGTTGTGAATGCACCATCCCTGGCAGTGTTTAAGGCCAGGTTGGACAGAGGTTGTCATGGTCTACTGAGCTGTCCCTGTTCAGGGCAGGGGGGTTGGAACTGGATGATCTTAAGGTCCTTTCCAACCCAAACCATTCTGTGATTCTATAACTCAGAAACCTAAAGCGGAGTTGGACGTAGCCCAAAACCTGAGCTGGCAGCTGCAGCCCCGGGTCCACCATAGTGCCCAGCCTTTCCTCTCCGCACTGTTGTGGCCTCCACACGACACACCCGGAGGACACTTCCTCCGAGGAGCAGCTCCCTGAGCCAGCCGCACCAGAGGAGGATGTGTGGCAGGAGAGAGGCCAGCCCCTTCCTTCCCTTGTCCCCTTACCGCCTTCCCTCACACCACAAGACCACCGCCACCGTTCCTCGCCGCTCCCAATATGGCGTCAGGAGCGGGCTGGCCCCGCCCCCGCGGGTCTCCGTCTCCACGGCAACGCGGCGCCAGCGGAAGGGGCGGGCTTACACCGGGCTCTTCCGGGCTGGCCCCGGCGGTGACGTGTCGGCGGGGTGACGGCGCCGGGCGGCAGGTGGCGGCGGGGGCCGCTCGCCGGGCGGCCACTTTCGGTGAGCACGGGGACCCCACCCCATCACAAGCACCCCTCTCAGGGCCGAGCCCCGCCGTTGTACCGGCGGCGGTGCCGGTGATCCTCATCCCCACACCGAGCCCTGTCAGGGAGACACCCCCCTAAATGGTCGCGCCGGTGGCCGGTGTACTCTCCTCCCCCGCTCTGAGGGCTGAGGTATCGGGCCTCCGGGAGATCCCGCTGCTGGCCACCAGCCCGGCCCGGTGAGAGGTGCGAGGCCGCTGGCAGGAGGGATGCGGTGTGGCGGGGTGGTGCCGGTGAAGCCCTCCTCGCCCGTTGGCGGCCGGTGGGGTTGGATGAGTGATAACTGCATCCGGAGGCCGCTGCAGCGGTGTGGGGCAGCGTCACCGGGGCTTTGATGCTGCCGAAGGATGAGCAGAGGCAAAGGGTGTCTGCTAATTACTGCCCAAATTAGACAGGAAATGAAATGGGGGCTTGGGGCGGGGGATATAGAGTCATAGAGTCATAGAATGGTTTGGGTTGGAAGAGACCTTGAAGCTCATCCAGTTCCAGCCCCCTGCCACGGATAGGGACACCTCACCCTAGACCAGATTGCTCCGAGCCCTATCCATCATTGCTTGTTGGCACCAACATCCCACTCACACTACCAAAAAGCCCGTGAGGAAAACAAGTCTCCATAATGGTGCTGCTAAGGCACACAGACATACCCATCTGAATGGGATGGCATTTAAGCACAATGGGATTGGTTTTAAGCACAGCCACTTACACGTGCAGCTTTTTGTGAAAACAACTTGGGAAAAGCTTTGCGTAGCCTCCCAAGGTAAGAGGAGAATGCCAAAAAGTAGAACATCAAATAGACTTCATAACTTGATATGAATCAAGAACAAAATTGAGATGTGTAATGATGAAGGGGATAAAACTCTGAAGTATCTTTAGCAACTGTGTTGCAGGTAGAGTGTGTGGAGAAGCAGCTTCCAGAAGGGACCACATTTTGTTCTGTGCTTTGGAAACACTGTGCGGAAAGCACATATATGGGTTTTGAAGCAGGTGTCATTCAAACTTGAGGACTTTCTCCTGTCTCGTTCAGAGCAAAGAATCAGTGACACTTGACATGTTTTTCAGCTTTGGTACAAGAACAGAGGCCATGGTGTGACATTGAAAAAAAGACAAACAAAGAAGGGTGCTGGCAAGGGTGATGGTTGATTCTCTGCAATTTTCTGTTGAGGTCACTGGTTTACCGCGGTTTATTCTGTTCTTTCTTCCCAGGGAGTTTGGAATAAGCAGTTTCAGACAAAGGCTCTGCTTAACCGAAACAATGTTTGCAGATTTGGACTATGATATTGAGGAAGATAAGCTGTGAGTATTTTGCTTATCTTTCCCTGTTCTTTGTTAACACTAGAAATAGTCTTTGCAACCAAGACCTTATGGGAGTGGATAAATTTACCTGCTCCTGATGCTGTGTGCTGGAGAGTCAGTTTTGCTGTTCAATCCTGATTTCTTGCTTCCCCTGGAGACTGGGGATGGGCATTGCTGTGCTGCTGAGCAAAGGAGAACGTGTTCTGTTGCTCTGGGGTAACTATTCTGCATTCCTGATTGCAAAGCAGTGCAGAAAAACCTTCTGGAAATTAGTGACCTTAGCCAGAGGAAAAAATGTCTATAATGGAGAATAGCAGGCAAGAAGAAGTGGACAAAAACTCAGGACTTCTTAGGTCTGTAAGGAGAACACCACTGGCATTCCCTGAGCAAGTAAAAGATTTGATGAGATCAACAATGAATTTAACGTGTAGCACTTGTCTTGCATTTCATTTATGCTGTGCAAGTTTTCCTCTCACTCCAGCACTATGGCCCATGCTGTTAGACTTTATGGCAGAGATAAAGTTTTCAGTTTCTGTCAGCCAGAGCTGTTTCATACGCATGCAGCTCTGCCTATCATGTTCAGTTATTCATTTCCCTCTCTCTCATTACAGGGGGATTCCCACTGTACCTGGGACAGTGACCCTGAAGAAGGACTCTCAGAACCTGATTGGGATCAGCATTGGGGGAGGAGCACAGTACTGCCCCTGTCTCTACATTGTCCAGGTGGGCACTCAGGGAGGAAGAATAAACCATCTGTGTAAAACAGTTTCCATCTCAGAGATGGAAAGCATGGAGAGTCCTGTACTATTTGTTTTCCTCAAAGTGGGAGACATCATCTCACTTCCCAGTGAATAAGAGTTCCTTGCCCTAGTACCTAATGGGTATGTAAGAGACTTCTGAAATTATCCTTCTTGGAGAGCATGTTAGAATTCACAGGGGAACAGTGTGACTTTCTCAACGTGAAGAAGTCGTATGCTTGACGACGTATGTCTTGGAGGCAAGAACTTCCTGAGGGAACTATATTATCAGCCTGCCTCTTCACTATGAAAGGGGAAAAACTGCAGCTTCACCATGCACAAAATAAAACTGAGTTAAATAGGAGGAATGTAATTGTCTGGGTTTTTGTTCACTAGCTGTGTATTCACCTTCCTCTTCCTCTTGATTCCAGACTATCTGTGCTCTTTCTCCTCTCCACCAGGTATTTGATAACACTCCTGCAGCCTTAGATGGCACTGTAGCAGCTGGTGATGAAATCACAGGAGTGAATGGGAAGTCCGTCAAGGGAAAAACCAAGGTGGAGGTGGCCAAAATGATACAGATGGTAAAGGTGAGAGGTAGGAGGGGGCCAGGGGAGCTTCTGGGTCATAGTTTACAGTTTATTGTCCATTGGTAAAGGAATCCACTGCTGCTTGCTTCCAGCACAGCAGTTTGGGATTTGCTCTTTCTACAGGGAGAAGTGACAATACACTACAACAAACTTCAGGCTGACCCAAAGCAGGGCAAGTCTTTGGATATTGGTAAGACCGGTTTCTTTCTCCTTATAGTGTTAAAATTACATGGATGGGTGAAAGACTGGTCCAAGCTAAAACCAGAGTAAAACTTGGGTTCCATTCTTCCTCTTAAATCAGTCATTTTCAAATGGATGCTGTCAAAGAGAATTACAGGTTTAGAAAAAGAATCCTTGCCTTGCTTCTTGGAATAGTTTTGAAAGGTGAGGCATGACTTGTTGCAGGGGGCTTGTTTCTTTGTGTTTAGCATGGATGGTAAAACAACTAGGTAATAATTTTATTTATTTTTAATACCTGTAAGTCATGGTGACTATTGAGATTTTCACAGAAATGAGGTACGCAGAAATGTGTCTGTTGGAAAGTACTGGTTGCAGTTTCTCACCTTGGAAGACAGTGGTGAAACACACCTATCTGCACTGAGTTTTGCACAACCATAAACTTTATAGGAGAGGAGAGAAGCTTATATCTAAAACAAAGCTTGTATTTTGAACTAAGTCTTCACGGTTGTCTCCTTTATATGGTTACCTTTCTAGCTTTCCTGAAAGAAATGTATCTATTCTTTTTGCTTTCATTTATTTTTATGGTGATTAAGGTGCAGGGGTTCAGGAAAATCATGAGGAGTGAGATGGATTTCTGGGGAAACAGAAGTGTGGTGAAAATGTGGCATTTTCCAGAGATGCTGGACACTGGCTTCAGCTGAACTCTTGGGAGCTGCAGGCACTTGGCTGCAAGTTTGCCTCTAAATAAATGTAGTTAAGTTATCTGATTCTGCAGAGGTTGTTAACTGTCTCTAGTAATTTCCAGGGTATAACCACCCAGGACAGAAATTTATTCCATCAGGAGGTGACAAAAGGGTTTAACTGAGATCCAAAAGATAAAAGCAAACAAAGGGATAACTTTGATCCATAAATTCTGTCTTGCTTTCAGCCTTGTCTCCTGACTTCAGTTAAGTAAACCAGCAAGTAGCGTAAGCAAAGTTTAGTTCCAAGTATCAGGATAGGTGATTTATAGCGAAGTTATTGACTGGAATAGTCTTCCAAAAGAAGTGCTGGAGCTTTATTGATTGGAGTATATAGGATGTGAGAGGAGAACAGATAGAGAAGATAGCAGATGTGCTATACACAGCTGGATTGAAAATCTAGTTTCTATGTAGGTGGGTTGTTTTTTTCTTTTTCGCTTGCTACCTCAATAGTGAGTTAAATTCAGTTTATTCAATGCCTGAGAAACCAGTGAAGTATGTTAGTGAGCTTTTCATGCCCATGGAAATTACCCTGATCCTGGTTTGCAACTCTCTTTTGGCCTATAGTATTGAAGAAGGTAAAGCATCGGCTGGTAGAGAACATGAGCTCAGGGACAGCGGATGCCCTGGGCTTAAGCCGAGCCATACTTTGCAATGGTAAGTATTGTCCAGGAGGACATTTTCTTAAGGAAACACTTACCCTGTTGTGCTTACCTGCTCTTTATTGTTACTTGCTTGGCCCATATGATTCCTTCATAATTCTTCCCTTCTGCTTTGCCTCACTGTTGTGATTGCCTCTGCTCATCCTGAGTGATATATCCTGTCACTGGGGCCATTTATGCTAGCTAGGGTCAAATTAATTTAAAGTGGGGAACCACTTAGCGATTGCCAATAGGTGGTGACCCCACACTGTAAAATAAGTTTGCAGTGGTTTTAAAAGCTTCCCATGCTGGGCCAGGAGACAGGCATTAAAAGGTGAGGGAAATTTGAACCAGAGGCATGAAACTTTTTCCAGTTGATCGGGTCTTAACCATGCAATGGATTTGACTGTTCTAATTCTGTATTCTGATTCTTGTTTCCAATTAGATGGACTAGTGAAGAGGTTAGACGAGCTGGAAAGGACTGCAGAGTTGTACAAAGGTAAACAGCTTCTTCCATCAGACACCAGAGGGGGGAGAGGGATACCTCCGTTATGTTGCAGTGAAATGACTCAAATGCTTTTTTCTGGCTTCTATCACAGGCTTGACAGAGCACACCAAGAGTCTTCTCAGAGCTTTCTTTGAACTATCCCAGACGCACAGAGGTAAAGAATCTTGAATGAAAGGAGGAGAAATCTTTGGCTCTAGTTTCAGGAGTTTTAGCCAGTACTTAGATGTACGGTTCCCTTGCTCAAAGAAAACTGAGTGTTGTGGAAATGAGCTGGGAAGGGCTGCTCTCTTGGCATTGGCGGTCTTACGCATGGGACATGGAAATAATGCCTTGAAGACCTCTGGTCTTTAGGAGGCAAGATTCTTCTCCAGGGTCAGCTTCTTCTTTCATGTGTTTCTGTTTATTACCCTCATCCAGCATTTGGAGATGTTTTCTCTGTCATTGGTGTACGGGAGCCGCAACCAGCTGCCAGTGAAGCCTTTGTGAAATTTGCTGATGCCCATCGCAACATTGAGAAGTTTGGGATTCACCTTCTAAAAACAATTAAGCCGGTAAAGAATATAACCATAGGAGTACAGGGTCTGGAGAAGAGGGGAACCTAGAAAGACAGAAGCCTGTCTTTGAACGTGTGATCTTAAAGATCATTCATTGTGGGAAAAGCTGTCGTTGCTTTCCTTCAAGGAACTCTCTTCATAAAGAACCTAAGAGGTAGTGTAGCGAGTATATCAATCTTGTCCCTTTGACTTTTGCACATGAGTATATTCCTCTCCTTTTCTTTTGAGGATGAGGGGATAGTTTGATCAGTATAGACTTTAGAGCCCTTTCCCTGATATTGGTACCCATACTTAAAAGATGTCACTAAATGTAAAAGAGTTTAGATAAACAGTCCAGGAACAACTGAAGGATTTTGATCAGTGTATGTAAATTAGAGTCTTCAGGGGATCTGTCCACTTATTTTAGTAAAGAGAGGATTAGATGTTGATTTGGGCACAATTTTCAGTGCCGTATTGAATGGACAGCACGGGGTAGTGGGCCTTTGAATCAGGGAGGGTGGTTTCCAGGACCAGTTGAAACAAGATGAGTTGAAAGAAGGTGAATTCAGGCTGGAAGTGAGGCATGCATTTCTGAGACTGGAACTACTTGCCCGTGACAGTAATGGATGCTCTAACTGTGATAATGATGAGTCAAGATCAAACATTTTCTTTCAGATGTGCTCTAGTTCAAAAAAGAGTTAACTCGAGTTAATCTCTCATGACCTGTGTTGATTCGAAGGTTGTACTTGATAAAATGTAGTCATGCTTTTTGGTTATACATTCAGCAACAGGATATTTCCCTTGCAGATGCTTACTGACTTGAATACGTATCTGAATAAAGCCATTCCTGACACAAGGCTGACTATCAAAAAATACCTGGATGTCAAGTTTGAATATTTGGTGAGCTGCTTGCTTGCTTTTTAAATGCTGGTTGAAATTAAGTTTTGTGGAATCATAGCCTGACTTCTTGGACTCCCCAAAAAAGCTCTTCAGTCCACATTTTTCAGTTTTAGATTGTTCTTCATTAGCTAAAGTAAGTAACTGTCAAGGCATAATTGCTTTTATTGAGAGCATGCCTTTTATTTTTTCTCTTCTCTTCTACTCGCCCCATGTTTTCTGCACCCAAAAAGCATGGGGTTGTTAAGTGCATCTGTTCTATAACTGTAGGAATCTATTTTCTTTTACCAGTTGAGAGAAGTATTTGGAGCTGCAGCCCTAAGGCAAGTGAATATGGCAGCATCTCTTCCCGCTTCAGTCCTTCCCACAATTCATCTTTTTTTTTCCTTTTTCCCTCCTTATTTACTCCCTCCTCATACTTTTCTGGTATTGTGTTTTCCCAAACAGTAGATGAGCACAGGATTTTTCTCTTACTAGGGTATACTTATCTAAAGTATTTGCTCCTGTAATATAAATATTAAGCACCTTCTTTCTCCCCTGCCGTTTTCTCTCATCTTTCTCCAAACAGATTTGCTTTCCACTAGGGATGTTTAATATACTCTGATCCCGCTGTGCTGTCCCCAGAGCCCCTAGCTGTAGCATTGAAGGAAGGCTTGAATTGGTACAACTGTATAGCTATGGCTGATGATGAAATCACTTCTAGTTTTTAATATTTCCTTCTGTTTTAAATTCTGTAAAGTCTTACTGCCTGAAAGTCAAAGAGATGGATGATGAGGAGTACAGCTGCATTGTGAGTACCACCACTGTAACAATGACAACTGCATACTCTCTTTGTGCAGCTTCCCTATACACACTGCCCTGTAATTGTAAAATAGCTCCTGTGCCTGTTTGCATGAAACTAGTGAACGCATCCTAAGAATTACACACATTTGTTCTTAACGTTTGAGAAACTGGAGATCCTTAAATGCTATCTGGGGACCACTGTCATGAATCACTAGTGCTGTGGAATAGCAGAGGGACCAGACATCATCTCTGCAGCTTGTTTGCTCAGTGGTTGCCTATCTCAGTGTTTGAGTAATATCAGCATATGTAAGGAGGATTAAGGTGTTATTTTCACAGATTCCATTTGTGTGTAGTGTACAGCTTATAATTAATTCTGGACTTGTTTCTGAGAAATGGAGGTTGAGCTGCTTCGCAGCAAAATGCATGTGAATAGTGCATTTGTAGTTGAAGAAAATTGATTAAAGGATCTCTCTTAACAATAGGGGATTTAGGGGCTTATGACTGTAATCCTTAACAGCTCTGTTTAAGATAGCTAAAGGTATCCCCTGCATGAAGGGGGTGTGGAACTATATGATCTTAAGGTTGTTCCAACCCTAACCATTCTATGATTCTGTGACTATATGATTCTATGTCCGGATGCCCTGCCTTAAAGTAAGATATTGTTTTTTCCTAGGTATTGATCTCAGAGCAGGGATTTGATTGTTTGGAATGCCTAGTTCCCAGTGCCAGGAAGGAATAAAACTTTCCTAAGATAACATTTCATTATATCTTTCCTTGTAAATGGGAAGGAAAGAATCCCAGTCTTGACCAGCAGAGTAACATCTTTGGGTTTTGGAGCATGCAGCGTGCATTATCAAGCCATAGTCTGTAATATGGATTTTTATGTAGTTACGTTTACTGATGCAAGAGAAGAATGCTGTTCTGCTGACAGACCTAACCCCTGTCTCTCAAAACTATTTTGCAGGACAATGTATCGGTCCCTCCCTACTGTTTTCTAGTGTTGTGTCTGGATGGTTGTAGATACCACAGGGTTCTCTGTGTAGATGATTACACAATCCATATAGAATCATAGAATAGTTTGGGGTGGAAGGAGCCTTCAAAGGTCATCTAGTCCAACTCCCCTGCACTGGGCAGGGGAAGCTTGCAGAGGAGGTCAGAATTTTATGTCTGATTGATATAAATTAATATATCCTTCAGCTCTTAGACTCTTGTTCACAGTGCTTGTCTTAATAGTTCAGATAAGAAGCCATCCCACTTTTCCAGGCTGAGTTGAAAGGTGCTGGTCGTTTTTGCTTTGCACAGTAGTGATGTTTTTCATTACTGTGGCTGGTGTGTATTTGGCCTTCAGAGTGGCCCCGCTGACTGCCAGTTGTTGACCTGGCTCAGTGTTCCTCATGTTTTGTGCTTCCTGACTGCAGTTGCAGTGATCCTGAGAGGGCTGTAATAACCCAAAAGCACTGTAAGTCCACAACAGCCAACAAACTTTGCATACAGGGTGTCCCTGCCCATGGTAGGGGGGTTGGAACTAGATGATCTTTAAAGTTCCTTCCAACCCAAACCATTCTATGATTTTATGATACAAGCACTGTTGTGGGAGTCTCTAAAATGGTGCTGTGTTTTTGGCAGGCTCTGGGTGAACCCCTCTACAGGGTCAGCACTGGGAACTATGAATACCGCCTTATCCTGCGCTGCCGGCAGGAGGCTCGCACGCGCTTTGCCAAGATGAGGAAGGATGTGCTAGAGAAAATAGAGCTCCTGGACCAGAAACATGGTGAGTATCGCTGCTGTGGCCACCCCCTGAAAGGGTCAGGCAAACGTGGCTTTGGCCTTTGTGCCTCTCCTTCATCTCAGCTTGGAAATCTTTACTAAAGAACCTTTTTGTGGCTGTGCCTGAGACATCCGCCCTCAGGGGACAAAAGGGATTAATGCTTAGGAGACTGTATCTAATGCTGTGAGGGAGGCTTGATCACAGCCTTCTCTCGGTCTGGGAAGGGGGTTTTCATGCACCTGACTTGTTCCCAACATGTCACCACTACAGTGCAGGACATCGTGTTCCAGCTCCAGCGTTTTGTCTCCACCATGTCCAAGTACTACGACGACTGCTATGCCGTGCTCCGAGATGCAGATGTCTTTCCCATTGAGGTGGACCTTGCCCGCACTACTCTCAACTACGGGCAGAAGGACACATACACGGACGGTGCAGAAGAAGAAGAAGGAGGAGAAAGCGAGAGAGAGGGTAGCGGGAAGGAACAGGCAAATGGTGAAAAGCTCATTGATGATGCCTGAGTGGCCAGAGGAGAGACTTTGCAGACTGTTATAAATGTCTGTTTCACATAACGATTCATCCTCTGAGATTTCTGTGTATGTCCAGCCTGGAATTCCTCCTCTGCTTTGGGTGGGGGTAGCTGGTTGGATCGGTACCAACCTCTGCTTTCTCCTCTCTTCCTTTGCTTGTTTGCCTGGATATTCCTTTTACTCCTAGAGATTCCTGCTGCCCAACTTGAATACTGAGGTGTGGGGAGGAAAATCCCCTCCCACACCACCATGTGACCGTGTGCAGGCAGGACATTGCCGAGCATAGAGGGCAGCAACCACTCCCCTCTGGCTTATGGAGGCCACTTAAACATCTGGAGATGGTTTCAAATGGCATGAAGAGCCCCTTTCTGTCCTCCCCTTGTGGTAGGGGAAGCTGTTGGCCCCAGCATTGTTTTCTTCATCCCAGTGCTCACTGTCTCCAAGCTTCCCATTCTCTGGCCTGTTTTGAGCTACTTCTGTCTCTTCTGTCCATCCCCATGGGCTGCAGGACTGATTTCTGTAGGATGATCACTGCTTTTAAGAAATAGAAGTCCAAACTGATGTCTAGAAGTGGTGGTAGTACATGTGATCGGATCACCGTCCATCCAAGGAGCTGGGGGAAGCCCTCAAAGCAGGGGCTGATGGGAGTAGGTGTCTGGTATGCAGAGCTGCAAATTTAGGAAATCTCTTCCCCTGGCTTCCATCCTCTTCAAAGTCACTGAGCTCCTGCACAGCTGGCACTGTCTGCACACTCCATAGCTACAGCACAGGGCTAGGATCCTGTAGGATGTGGCTCTGCCCTTCCCTGTGGGAAGGAGGGACCTGGCTCAGGAAAGAGCCCCCCTAGTCAGCAGAGATGCTGAGGTAAGAGTGCTTGTCTGTGGCAGACAGATTCCTAGGAATGACAGCAAAGCTGCACCCATTTCCTTTCCATCATTCTCTTTTCCATGTCTCCTTCATTATTGTATGGCTCTTCAGCTAGAGAGGAGAGACAGCCTCGTGGAGAGAGGAAGGCATGGCCTGTAGGCAGAGGCTTTGAGATTTTTTAGTGCAAAGCATGGATAGCATGCTGCTCCCCACTCTCCTCTCAGCACAGCCATTTGTGCTGCCCTGGGCCAGCCAGCCCCAGTGGCTGACATCCCATTCCCAGCACAAGGAAAGGAGAGGAATGAAGATTGAGGTAAGTGAGGCTGCATCTTTCCTCCTTCCTTTTCTCTTCTCCCTTTGTCCCTGTGGGCTGATCCCAGATGCAGATTAGCACTTTCTGTTTTGGCAGACAGCACAACTGCCAGGAGCAGTGTGCTTCTCAGAGGCAAGGGTTTTGACTTCTGTCATTACATTCTAGTGGTAGTGAGAGAAGTTATTCGAGGGCATTAATTTATGATCGAGATGTTTGGTTTTCTTTGTTTTTTCTCTTCGATTTGTCTTTGGAGCTTTGTCATCTCTGTGTATGCCTGGAAGAAAGCCATCCATGGTTAAGCTGTTCTGGAAGATTTCAATGGATTCTGTTGTACTGACTGTTGTCTCTAATAAAGAAAAATGTGACATTTCGTTTCCTGTCCTTTATGGGTTTTCTTTAGAGGTTTATTTGCACATCCCCTATTGGTTTTAATCTTAAAATATAGTAATGAGAAGATGGGTGTCATGTGCTGGCCATTCATTTTTCTTGCTCATACTGGTGGATAACCTCTGTGCCAAGCTATGATTGTCACTGCAGCACATGTTTGCAGAGGAGAAAGCTTATAAATGCTGTAGCAAGGCCAGTCCTCCATGTAAGACCAGCGTGGCTTCCCAGGGGAGCACCAGCCTTGTAAAATCACCAGTTGCCTCAGTTCTCAGGTGGCATCCTTGCATACCTCTCCAGGGCCAGCTTCTCCATACAGCTCAGCTGTTGCATCACAAGCTTGATCTGATGCTTAAGACCCTGATCCTCTTTCAGAGCTGTTCGTTATGCCATAATACGGAGCAGTTCAGAGGGACAGAGAAAACTTGCTTGAAAGCTGACAATGAGGAGTGGAAGGCAGCTTGGCCATGTTTTTTGCAACCTGACTGGTGGAGGAAGAGGTCTGGGGATCTTACAGCACTGTCTGTAGCAACATCTGGTACCCTGAGGGCTTTTATGTGGTTTGTGAAAAGATTTCAGAGCAGGAGGCTTAGTGGGGAACGTTGACTGGTGACAAGGAAACAGAGGGGACCTCGTTCCCATGACCTGCCTGGCTGACAAGGGCCTTGGACCACTGGGAAGATGTGAGCTGCCACTTTGAGGGGGTACTGGTGACCAAGGGAAACCAGGCCTGGGGGACAGGGGGTTAGGGTTGCTGGGAAAGCACTGCAGAGCAACTTGGTTGAGCAGAGCAGGGACAGTGATATTACCATGTGGGGAGGGGGGAATAAGCTTGTGGAGCAGTGAATGAATGCCTGCAGTGCTCCATCACTCTTGCTGCTCCTTCTCTTTCTCCCAGAGCTTTGCAGCTGGGCTTTGTCATGAGGCTTAGTCTGATTTGGGATGTTTCTAAGTGGATTTGAATAGGAAGAAGCCCAAAGTCATGACTGTAACTGACCCACAGTGGTGGGGCAGGGTACAGAACCATGGGGTTTACCTTCTCCCTTCCAATTGCACAGAATCATTGAATGGTTTGGGTTGGAAGGGACCTTTCAGATAATCTAGTTCCAATGTCCAGTTCTTATGTCTCTTTAAACTGACATTCTTCAGCAGCTTTATTTTGCTTGTCACTGACTGCTCTTTGCTTAGGAACGTTTAGAATGAAACCGTTTCCTTCATGTCCCTTCTCCCCTCCCTGTTTAAATGGCTTTGCGGGTGCTGCAGGCTTCACCCACTGCCTGTTAACTTGTAGTCAGTATGGTCTGGAATGAAACACCTATTTTGATGGTCCCATGAGCTGCCTTCCGTGTATCCCTCTGCTTAGTTTTAGATCCCTTGTTATAGTCACAGGTTCGCCCAGGGCCTCTGAGGTGAAACAGTTCAGGAAACCGGAAGAAAGGGCTTTGCCCAGGGTTGTTTATAAAAGGTCCAGTCCTAAAGCAGATTAGGAGTGGTTTAAGCATGCCAGGGAAGGTTGTCCTCTCAATCTGGAAATCCACCGCTGCAGCAGGGGTGAGGGAGTCATGCCTGCCTTACCACGTGCTCCAACACCTTCATCAATGGCACTGGGGGCTCTGGATTGTCTTTCTGCCTTACATTTGATTCCTTTACGTAAGGGGTTTTTCTCTGAAAGGAAAGCACGCATGGGCCTGGTGCCATTCCTGGTGAGTGGCGAATTGCCTGGGACACAGTTATTTACCTGCCCTGAAACCCCCACCTCCCATAGAGGCCAAATTGCTCCTTCACACGTCAACAGGACTCACTTCAGGCTAGATACTGATAGCTCACTGCTTTTCCTGTCGGCGAGGCTCCGTCTCGTGGCTGCTCACCCAATGGCATTAACCTTTTTAGATGTCTTCTTCTTGCACTGCAGCAGCCTCTACCCAGCACTTCCCCACTTGGAAGAGCAGAATCATGTATCACTGCCCCAACTTTACCACCCACAAAAGATGCTCCAGAGGGAGGTATCCCACCGCTTTGGCAGTGCCTGAGGGAGGCACTGCAGGGAATGCAGTGTCTGCGCCCATGCTGGCTGCAGCTGGAGGTGGCTCATATGATCGCTATGAATTACGCCACCTCCTAAACCTGGTTCCAGCTGGCCTGGTGCTATCCCGACTGTGGAAGTGAGGTGGAAGAAACACTGACACCAAACCAAAGCGTACCAGATCTGTTTGCAAAGAGTCTCTAATTGTTTGTGTTCTGTATTATGACAATGCAGAAGGAGAAGGAGAGTCCTTGGCAGCCTCTTCAACAGACTTTCTTTGGGGCTGGTTTGGAAGTGAGGAAAGAAGATGATTTTTTGTTTTCTTTTTGGTGTTTGGGCTGCTCTGAGCCTGAGTTGCACCAGCATGGGTGCAGGATGCAAGTAGGCATATCACTGGTATGTATGTGGACATATGTACAAAAGGACCAGCTATTCTTACACCTCTCCCTCTTATATCTGTGTTTGTCTCCACTTTCTCCTCCTCATCTCCCACCTACCCTCCCAAGCTGAGGTGCATGCAAACAAGGCCAGATTTATACATCCCTGTTCCTCTGCCCTGGCTAAAAGCTGTCCCTCTCCACCGTCTGGTCAGCATCGCAGCTGTCTCGTGCCAGCACCTCCCCGTCCCCAGCGGGACACCCGCCTCCCTCCCTGCCCTGCTCCTCTGCCACATGGTTGGCCTCCTCGCTGGCTGCCACCATGGCATTGTCGGTGCTGTGGGCTGGCTGGTGGTTGTCACTGCTGTGCTCCTCAGCCTCCTGCACATCGGACTCTGCTTCCTCAGTGTCGCTCCCACCACCCGCGGCAGGGTTCTTCTCCGGGGAGCCTTCCTTCTTCTTGCCTCGGTTCAGGCAGCAATAGGTGGCCATGGCCAGGAAGAGAGCAGAGAGCACCACCTCTGAGCCTGCCAGGTAGAAGATCACCTCGTAGTTCTTGAGAGCGTCAACCAAGCGGCCTGATGGTCGGAGAAGAAATGAGAGAGTTAGCTTCAGCCTACATGTTCCTGCATGGACAGACCAGCACCTGCATTTGCCTGAGGACCCATTTCTCTTTTTTGGCAGAGAAGTCCCTTTGGTTGCCCCACACCTGATGATTTCTCTGCCAAAGAGAGGTTCTCAAGATATCTTCTCCACTCACTGTCAGTAAATGTGGTGAGTTCATCTCCAGGTGAATGTATGTGCCCTGCCCATCCAAGCTGGATGGTGAGCAAGGAGCCTGCGTGCACGCCTGCATGCATGTGTGCAGCTTATCCTGCGCCAAACTCCCTCAGCACCCATGGGGCGGGAAGCAGCTCAGGAGGATTACACAAACAAAGCTACTTTGTTCAACCCCCTTCTTCCAGCCGAGTACTGCTCCCCAGGCCTGAGCTGTCGGGTTTGCCAGCACACCCAGGCTCCCTGAACCGGGGGGTCCTGCAGGTCCTGCTGGGGGGAAGGAGGGCACCACGACTTGGCTACCCCCAGCACTCTTCTTCAGTGGCTTTGCACTATCTGCATCCCATTGTGCGTGTGCACAGTGTCAAGGCACAGCTGAGCTGAGTCAGGAGGGCTGAGGGATGTCCCCCATTGCTACCCCCTGGTGTGTCTTGCTCCAAGGAGCAAGGTGCTGTTCAATCCCCCTCATCCCCATGATCTATCTGCATCTGCCTCCATGACAGGTATTCCTTGACCCTCCCTGGCCTAGGACTGCTGACTACCCCACAGCTTTTAAGACAAGACATGAATTACTGTTACCACAAAGAGGATCTTCTGTTGAACATCAGTTTTTACCTGAGGCCTGGGTGGAGCTGCTGAGAGTGGGTTTGTTCATAACTGGTGGTACGTGCTAGGGAACAGATCATTAGAGGTCTTCACCGATGGGTTTTAGCTCATGTGTTGCAGCTGAAGGAAGGGAGTGCAGGAAGCAACAAAGTAGTCCATGGTCTGTCCCTGACCCTTCCTCACAAATCACACATGCAGAGACCTCACTTCATTTGTAAATAAGCCTTTGGCATGATCTGACTTCCTGTGACATTTAACAGTGACCTACACCAGTTTCTTGGGTGAAGGGTCTCTCCATTCAGCAGCTCATTTATGGACTGTCTGTGGCGCATGGACCTTACTGTAGCCTAGACCAGATTGGTTGAGAAACTGTGCCTTAATCCTCTTAAAAGGAAGTAACAGTAAATGCCTCAGGTGGCTCTATGAGCTGTTTTGACTTGATTGACACCAAAATGCCTGTGCCTTTGGACAGGGGCCAACACAAGTTGAGATCGTTACCAATCAAAAGGCCATGGACACCAAGGAGAACTTGAAAGATCTTTGCCTTGTCGTAATGAAGACTCTCAAAGGTTTGCCTGCAGCATGTGCCTGACCCTACCTATAACATGATTTTATGCAACATTCACAGTGAAAACAGAGTCCTGGGTCCCAGCATGAAAGTGAGGGAAGTACCACTGATCAGGACTGAAGGACACTGGAAGTCATGCATATCTCTGGATAGCTTTGTCTACCTGCCACCACTCAGGTCTGTGAGCAAAGCAGAGGGAAATACCACCTGCCGTCTTGTGCCCTGCTTAGATTCAGTTGTGGTGCATGGAGTGAGACTGGGAGCTCTTACTTCAGATCTCAGTTTCCAGAGGAAATCTGAAGTTGAGGAATAGGGTCTTTCATCAAATACCGTGCCCAATACCTGCAGTAGCATGGAATGGCAGCCAAATGAATCACCTGTGTTTTGTGGCAAGAGACCTACCTGCAGAGGGTGGCCCGATGAGCACAGCGAAAGCCTCAATAAGCAGGACCAGCCCGATGGCGCTGGAGAACTTCTGGGAGCCCACGATGGCCATGAGCACCTCAAACTGCAGTGCCCCCACCATGCCGTAGGAGATGCCGAAAAACACACAGAAGATGACCAGCCCCGTGTAATTGCTAGCCCTGGCACTGCAGATGTCTGTCAAGCCATTGAAGAGCATAGAGAAGCTGAACA